CCCCAAAACCCCAAAACCCCAAAACCCCAAAACCCCAGAGTAAATATAAACATAAGTATGGCAAAGTATTTGAGGAAATTAATTTTAATCAATATAGAAGATCTGTACCTTCTGCATGATGCTTTGAATATTCTTCATTCAATTTCGATGTTTCTTCGATAGTGAATAGTCTTTTAAACTTTGGCTTTAATGAGGGAGGAGGATTAATGAAAGCAGGTGGATGCATCATCATTCCTTAGTTTTACCCGCTTTAGTCATAGTACTAATGCTGGCCATATTGAGGCGGATAGTAATACTAATGCTATTGATAATAGCCTCCATCGTAGTAGTCAACTTTAGGATTTCTCATATTGTTGGCACTAACTGGCTAAGACTAATATGTCTAATTATGATATGAAGATTACTACTGACTAGGTTGGCCTCGTTAGAATGATTCAAGAGTTGCATGAGGATTGATTTAGTTAGCGAAATATGGCATTGTAGGAGCAGGAATGTTATAGTACATCTATTCATACCCGGTGTTGTCGTAATCTTATCCCAAAATTTGTTTATGAGCTTCTTGACTTATCAAATAATTGTAAGTATTGACATCAGATGAGCTTTGACTTAACTAGGATGAGCTAATTTGGAATTATTACTTAATATCTTATTGTTACCTGAGTTTGACATTCTTAGTCAATATCATCTTATTGTTCATCTCTTTAATTGCTCTTTAAGATTCATCGTAAGCTGAAAATTTGATGAACCCATAGCATTTAGATGATCTCGATACTGGATCAAGGATTACTTTGGCTGATATCACACTATTAAACCTCTGCTTAAAGGAACTAAATAGTATTGTGTCATTCACATATGGATCAAGTTCAGTAGCATATATCTAGTAAGTAAAAATCAATCTAAATTTACAGTATATTCTTGAACTTATTGAGCAGTCTAAGCTGGGACAGACGCTGATCCGGTAAGCCCAAAACTAATCGTCTAGGGAGTTGAATTGACATTGTGAGTTGCCCAGTTTAGTTTGAAAGCTCTATAATTTAAATTGCTTCAGTCAAATACATTATCGGGAATAATTTTAATCTTAAATGAGAGTTCTAGAAATTAAATCAAGAAATTACTTGTTAGATCCGGGAATGAGAGAACCATTCAGTGTGTTCAAGACTTAGCGAGCAATTTCTGGGTTAGCGAATTCTACAAACCCATAACCTAAATGAAGTCATTAGTGAATTTTTATTCTACCTTCTGGTAAGCCAGTTCCTCGATCTCTGATTATCTTAACACTTTAAACTGAGGCTATTTTTCATTTAATGGTTAATAAATGAAAATTGGAGATAATGGAAATTACCTAAGCCTTAGAATAAGCTACTAAGGTAATTGTCATCCATCCAGGATTCAACATCACCGACCCAAAGTGTACGACAATCTTTTGGTTAAGATTTCAAAATGTTCATTTTAAATAATATATTTTATACTAAATTATGTCATTACTCAAATAAAGATGAATTTATATTGCTTGGGGTTTTGGGGTTTTGGGGGTTTTGGGG